AGTATTTTCTTAACTCTTTTCTTTTTCCAAAAAAATTTGCCAATGGGTGCATGTGCTCACCAGAGACAGAGAGAGGGGAAATGATAAAGTACCCAATGGGAAATAGTCATACCACAATCCCTTCGTCTCCATTTCTCCATCTTTTCAGAATCCTGGGCATACATACACACATGCACAATGTGCTTTTCAAGACACCAGGTATGGCACTTAACCTGCAGTTGGCCACATGGGATTCAGCTGCCTTAGCCACCATACTACGGGCTCTCCCTCTTAACTCATTTCTGTTGGACATAATCCTCTTTGTATTGAGCTATTTACTGAGCTGTGAAATATTAGTCCCATGACATGTTCTGAGGGGAAAAAATGCCAGTCTATGGTCAGATAATTTGGGGGACATAATATATATCTACTGCATCTCTTAGCTACATAATCCACATTAGGATAGCATTGCCCCCAGTTGCTAAGAGTGCTGATGGCTGTATCCTCCAATCCCTTAGGCACTGCTTAGGTTGCATCCTATCCAAGGTCACATGACACGAATAGAGGGTATACAGGACTAACCATCTTGGCCCAATTTAAGGCAATATTAAAAGGTCATTCTATTTCCCTCACTCCTACCTGTAGGTTATTGTCTCTGAATTATGCAGCTTCTCCTTCTGTCTAGTTTTTCTCTACCCCTTTCCATGGGAGTTGATCTTAAGGACACTCTATAATAAACATCCTACATAGTAAGCTCTGGGTCACAGCCTGCTTTCCAGGTAGTCTGTCCTGGGACATGGTGCAACAGGGGTCATTACATATTGGTGTTTTTTTTTTTAATTTAATTTAATGTAAGTTGGTTAAATCATTGGAAAGAGTTCTGAAGTCTAGCACCTTACAACCCAGCAATTACACTCCTGGATACTAACCTAAAAGTTAGCATGGTGTTTGTTCACCAAAAGTCATGTATAAGAATATTCTAGCAGCTTTATTCATAGTATGAGGGATCTACAAAAAGTTCATAGAAAATACATATTAAAAATAAGTAGATTTCATTTTTTTGCTTCAATAAATTTATACTTTAATTCCATTTTCCACCAACTTTTTGAAGTCCCTTTATAGATGTAAACTGAAAATAATTCAACTGTCCTACAACTATAGATTTCTTTCTTTCCTCTTCTTAGTAGGGAAAAGGTGATTTAGTTAGACGCTTGGATGTGAAGCCATCTTGGAGGAGCACCTCCAAGAGAAGCAGGGAATGAAGCAGGAGCGACTCCATCTTGGAGGAGCACCTCCATTATAAACTATTAAATTCCTATCACTAGAAACTTGCCTTCTCCTTTGGCCTAAGAGCAAACAGGGTGAATTAACACTCCTATTGTCTTTAAACCCCACTCCTCCTAGTTGCCTTAAGAATCATTAACTTGCTTACCTGCTTGTTCTGTCTCCGATGCACTTTTGCTTGCTTTTACTTGTAAAACCCTACCCCCTACACTTTCAAGCCCACCACTCTTTGTTCTTGTGATTGCCATGTCAACCCAGAAGTGTGATTTCTGCCTTTATAAGCACCCCTTACCTTACACTTGGGGCTGTGGGGTTTTGGGAGACAAGAGTGTCCTGGATCCTCCACAACCCCGCTGGCTTACTCAATGAACTCCAATAAATTTGGCTCTGTCTGGATGTCCTCTTACTTCTCACTGAGTAGACTATAACAGATCTACACCTCAACTCTGCCACTTCATTAGTTGTGTGACCTTTGGTGATTTGTTTTTGGTACTCAGAGTCACAGTTTCGCATAAGTAGCTGCAAGTTATGTATCCTTTTACCTAAGTGTATCTGTGTGTACCTATGCATATGAATAGAAAGATGCTCTCATTAATTTATAGCAAGTATTAGCATGGTTGCTTTCCTTTTCTACTTTGTATTTTTCACTAATAGCTGAATGTTTTAAGATAAAAAAGTAAATCATATCTAAAGCAGTCTACGTAAAATTGCAACACAATGTAAAACTGTAAATGTGTGACACAATGAAATCTGATATTTCTACATGTTTGAAATGGGAGAATCTAAAAATTTCTGTAAGCCAAACTAAGTATAATGTCTCCAGTTCTTTTTTTCCTAATTCATGTATACATAATGGGTCTTTGTATTTAATTTCAAGAGACAGTCCTCTTACCTTTTCTTCCGTTAATAAGCATTAGTAACATAAACACTAATTGTTCTAAGAAAATATAGAAAGAAATAACACATCACCTTGCCTAGAGGAGTAATAAATGTTTTACAACTCAGTAACTGAAATGGGCTGAGGGTTCGGATGTGACAAAAACCATTTATGTAACATTGAAAAATATAAAAATATATTAAATTCTTCTTATTATTTAATGAAACACAGAGAGGAACAGACAGAGTGGGAAGGAGAAAGGGGGTTAATTTTGACAGTCTCCATGTGCCATAATCCAGACTGCTAGTTAGCCTGGCCTATTTAGGTTGGTGGTCCAGGATCTGACGCTGGGCTTTCCATGCATCCCAATCTTACACTGTGGTGCACTACCACTGTGCTGTCACAGCTGGGTCTAAGCTATCCTTATAACAAATAAAGAACCACTAACTTTTATTAGGATTTACATGGCAATATACACAATTTAGATTAAGAAACAAGTAAAATGGCAACAGCTTTTTTAGAGAGATTGCGACAATATTTTCTGCATCACAGATCCTAAGGTCAGATGGACTCTTAAATTAAGATAGCTATTATATTTTTATTCACAGATCTCTAACAAATAATAAACAGTACAACTTAAGAGAATGTTGAAATATGATTTTTCAACCTGAAAGAAATTATCTCAATTACAGTTGGAGTTTGATAGGTTTAAATACTTTGCAAATACCGCAAATGGGATCATGAAGCCAATCCAGTTATTACTAAAATATAGGCACATTTTCCTTTAAATATCTGAGATTCTGTCTACAGTGCCTCTGTTATATTCATTCAAATTATTCTTGTACTCTAAAACAATGAAGCTTCTCAACTGGTGGAATGTTGCCAGAGGATTTCAACAGAGTTGAAGGCAACATAACCAAAAGGCATAGTTTAGACTGGCTTAGGGAATGAATGGGCTACTTATCAGAGATGCTGAAGGCTGCATACAATGAACAACATCTGTCAACGTTCACAGAGCCCCACACAGAACAAGCAGGCTGGACAGCCCTACAGCCCTACAGAGCAGCCACCTCGGCTCAGGCTCCTTCGGATCCACATGAGAGTAAAAAGACAGCATCAAAACATCACAAGGACACCAAAAGATTTTAGTGATACTAGTGAGATCATACAGAATGCAACTGCTAATTAATGTTAATAATCTAGAATAATTGTTAACCTTAGCATCAGGCTCCAGACTAATCAGCTATTATTAAAAAACAAAACAAAACAAAACCAAAAAAAAAAAAAACTTTTGTTTAAAGAGTTACGTTTGTATTTATAATGATGGACTTACAAATTTTTCTCAGGTTATTTTTGTATTTTATTTAAATGATGATTGATATTTAAATCTCGATCTAATTCAGCCTAAATATTTCTTTATGAAGAGTGCTAAATTCATTCACTGGTTGTTTTTGCACATAATAAATACATTTACGACAGCATACCAAACAAAACAGAACAAATCCAGAGGAAGTTTCATTAAATAAATTTATTTGTTAAAATAATTTAACTCCAAATACAACTGCTGAATTTGCATTGAGTTATAACTACAATTCATGTTTTAATTGAAATGTCAAGGTTTAACAACTGACATTGTTACAAAACAATAAACGGTTGTTCAATTTTAAATGGTCAGTTGTATTAGAGCTCAACAATTAACTGTGAACTATATCTCTGGGAAACCCCAAATCAATAATGATAAGTCTGTTTCCAAAACCCACTGCAGTCATTCTTGAAACCCTGATCAAGATTTAATAGATGCACAATGACACATTTAAAAAAAGAAAAAAAAAGACCCCCAGAGTCTTTAACATTTGATTGGCTAAGGAGACAATTAAAGCTTACTCGGTGCTAACACAAGATTACTGATAAGAACAAAAAGCTAAAAACAAAACAAACAGAAGACCCAGCAGCCACAAACAAAACACTTCACATTCATACATACACAGACAACACACAACTGGAAAATCCTTGAAATCAAACACCAGACATCATTAGGCAGCATTTCTTTATATAGAAAAAGCAAGTATCAGTAGTTTTACCACAGAAAAATGATGGCAACTGTAGCAATGAGAAATTTCAGTCCTAATTCTACAAACCTAAGGAAAAAATTATCAAAGCACCTTTCGATCACCGAAGAAGAGATTTTATGGAATACTTTTGATCAGATGCTGGCTTGTTTTGTGTAAGTTGAACAAAATGAAAGGCATCAGTTACCATCACTCCCACAGCTTAAAAGAACCAGAAAGTTGCGACATTAAAAGAAAAAAAACTTGAAAAACGAACTGCTGCCTTATATAAAAGTAAAAAAAAAAAAAAAAAAAAAAAAAAAAAAAAAAAAAAAAAAAAAAAAGGAAACCTTACAAAAATAGCTAAAGAAAAAGTGGGTCTTTGGATCAAACCATAATATTCTTAAGGCATGTTAGAAAAATGTTCACTTATCTAGTTACTAGTCTGATCAGGGCATAAAGTAGTGACCCAGGGTCACTGGCTTTCCTTTGTAGCCACTACTATTTCATGTGCCGGCAGATGTATTCTCGTTCTTAAGCTGTTTATTACTATACCCATTCAAGCTAAATTATACTCATACACATGAATAGAAATAGGAAGTGCACAGGAGGACTTCCAGCTTTTGGATGTCTTTGATGCATGGTGGTTAAGGTGCTGGACTCCTACATGGCTGACCATGGTTCGAGTCCCAGACCCGGCAACTTGAAAATCACACCAGGCACATGTGTGTGAGTGCATCAAATCCCAAGAGAATGAAGGAGAAGGGACTGCAGCATGGCCATCTCCCCTCAGGGAGCAGGAGGGGGTGGTGATTTCTCACTTTCTGTCTCTCTGTCTCTCTACAGTGAGCGTATACGCCCTATGGCAAAAACCTAAAAAAAAAAAAAAATTAAAAAAAAAAAAGGAAAGAAAAAAGAAAAACCAGAATAATATGTCGGGCTGTGTGGAAACACTGATCAGGTAGCCAAATCAGTTACTGCTAGCATTTTTACAGTTAAAGCCCAGCTTATTGTTTGACACAAGCATTTCTAACTGAAATCCAGAATTTTAGTTAATCTTTTCCACCTTGCATTTTGTCACACCTTTCACATTATTTAATCTATTTTTTCACATCTGATAGCGATTCATAACATGAAACTGAAATCATTATAGATGTTTCTACTATACAATCTTAGTTACCATAAACTGCTAGTAATTATAGAATTCTAATAAACAAAATCATTCTGAGAAGTCAAAGGCTTCAAAGCGCAACAAAATCACTAACAAATATTTCTGATTCCATAGAAGAACTGCACTCTTGAGTATTTGATTTTGTTACATGTTTGAGTCAAATCAACTTTTACATAGTGAAATTTGTTTCAATAAAATTGGTTAAAACTTTGTCCTATAAACAAGGTGCTTCATAATTGAGGATTATAAAAAAATCATTCTGAAGAATGTAAATAGTCACAATTCAAAGATGTTTTTTTGACAACCATAACCTGGTTTCACCCACAAATCTCTTCAGTTGGCTCATCTATGAAAAATACTATTAACCTTTTTTTCTATCCTCTAAGTTTAATGTCAGTTACTAAACATTTGGGAGCTAACAAGGATTTCAACAATGTATAAAAACGCTCAAATAATTTAAAAGAAAAATGTTTCTGATATACTATATTCTGCAGTATAGATTCTCAGTATAGGCAATTATCTCCAACTTGTGCCAAATTCTTAGGAACAGTAAACACACATGCACACACAAACACACACTCTTCTCTCAGTTACACACGTAAGACCAGAGGTTACTTGCACAAGACCGTGAACCCAGTAAAATGTGGAGCGGCATGTAGATCGCAGGCTCAGTGATATTGCAGTCTGAAGGCCAAATTATCTCCAGAGGCCCAGCTCAAGATCATCTCTTCAGCATTTGTAGCTCTGAAGTTAGTTGAAAACCCTTCTACATTGATTGTAAAACTTATGAATAGGTTTTTCCTGTGCCATTAGTCATGCAAATAATAAATACTTCACGGCTATAAAAACCGAAAAGGTCAGAGCTTGAGCACCTTTTCAAAACAAAATATTCACTCTAGCTTTATTTGCCACTTCAGTAATCAGGGCAAAATTATTATAAGAAAGCCTTTATATAATTCTTCAGGAAAATTAAAGATAAAGGTTTTTTGTCCCTTACCTTCTGCTCTATAATTTATGTTCTACTTTTAAGCCCAAATTATTTCACATGGTTATTCAATTTTTAAAATGCCTGCAATAAAGCTCTGCTACAACAAACTTGATTTCAAAAGCAGGTTAGCCAAGGGTCACACCACAACCATAGCCCTTAAAGGCAAGAAGGAATTTGCTGCTTTAACAAATGTAAAAAGGCCAGGTATTTGTACTGTCCTGCGAGGTTTCTGCAAACGGGAACATGTGGATGCAACATGGCTTCATTTTCCTTACAGGATGGTACTAGTTAATCTACTAGAATGCTTCTTGTTAGTAAGGCTAGGCAATCTCTTCCCATCACAGTTGTTTCCTTCTTGTTCAGCAAAGTCATAATGACCATCCCTCCTCAGTTAACAGAGGGTGGACTTGGGGTTTTCATTCTGATCAAACCCTTGTGAGAGCCTCCATTTTTCTGTGGCCAAGCAGGTAATTTAACAAATTCTAATGCCAGATTGCATATTTACACAACCTGTTCTGACTTTTGCTCTATCAACCATTGATGCATGAGTTAGTTCCATGTCACAAATTAGGATAACATCTATAATTAGGCATCGATTTTGAAAAACAGAAACGTGTCCACTGAGCAAAGACTCTCTGCCTGTGATGCTGTGGGCAGGTCGGCTGTCATTATCTTACTTGACGGAATACATTGGTTAGAAGCTCTATCGCGATTCCTGAATTTCAGTACTCTTGTAGGAAAATATTTCTCCTTTACTTTTTTTTAAAGAAGACAAAATATTTAAATTGTAAGTGGTCATAAGAATTCTTCTTATTTCTCCCCCGTGATTATTTCTAATTTGTACAATAGTTGCTTCTGTCAACTCAGTGACAATGCCATCATAGCTTTCAAATGAGATCACCCTGTAGATCCATGGGCTATGCCTGAAAGTTGCAGATGCATAAAGGAGACTGAGGACAATGGTGAAAACTGTAGTTACTGAACCCAAATGTTACTCAGAGATATCAACTGACAATCACTGCTCAATCCTGAATAAGGGTTGCAGTTCACTGCAGATTCACCCCATGCATCCTGCAAACTCCGCAGTAGAGTAGACGAGGTTTCTATCGCCTACAGTATTGGGCAAATCCTGTCCAGGACAGCCATACTCAGGTGCTATTGTATGTTACAGGCAGAACAACATGGGTCATCTTTGTCAGGCTGAGCGGCATAGTTCATCTGCCTAACAATTTCTGCAAAGAGTTCGTCCACCATCGTTTTACTCTTAGCGGAAGTCTCCATAAACGGGCAACCCCACTCTTCGGCAAGGGCTCTGCCTTCATTGGATGATACTTCTCTCTCACTTTCCAGGTCCACTTTGTTCCCGACCAAGATGACTGGCACTTTCTCATAGCTACGAGAGAATAAACAAGGCACACATGAAGGTGGTAGGTTACACAAAGGTAAACAGGTACAGTATATTTTCTTTTTTTTTTTTTCCCACTTTTTCCTACTGCACAGTCTCTTCAGTTGCATGAGAAATTATTTGTACCATCTGGCTTGACACAGACCTGCAGGCTGCTCTCATAGGGGATCATAAATGGGTTTTTCAAAATGATGTTTTAATTAATCAATTATGCATCCTTTACAATCAATTTACCTTTCCAGATACACTTGGAAAATTATTCTCAGGATCACAGACTAAATCCTCTAAGACTAATTAAGATTTTTTAATTCTATTCTAAGGGATGCTTCCTCAAAACTTCACAGTTTATCAGGTAATAATCAGCTCTGCTGAACACACAACTTACAATTGTCAATATTTTACTGTATTCTATAAGGAAAGTATCCAAAGCTGATCTTGTCTAATACTATAAGAAAAAACTAGTTGAAATCATTAAGATGGAAACCATCGAGTACAACTACAACCTACCACTTTATAAAACTGATATAAGCTATGTAATTGGAAGAGAACAATGTCAATTCTTTCCACCCTGACAAAGATTAAACATTTCAATCATTACTTTCATCTGATGCTAACTCTCTTCTCTTTCCCAAATAGAAAAGATGTCTCTCAGTATACATTCTTGGAAAAAGCTAAACAAATAAGGCTAAAAAATGGTAATATGGGAACGAAGAGTAACGACCCTAAAACCTAAAGATTCTCTCTACAATGGTTATTCCATACAGGACCCAGATGTCATGGTGTAAGAAAACCTGGTGCTGGTCTGCTTATTTCTTTCTCATGTTCACACTTAGTCTAAGAAAGGTAGCTCATATATTTTTGTAGGAATATCGCTTTTACTTTAGTGGTTGTTTAAAAAGTTTTGGTGCTTTCTTTGGTTTTAGTACCCATCAGTGTCTGTGTATGCACGCGCATGTGTGTATTTTCACCTAAGCAGAATGAATCTCTGATTTATAAAGGAAATAAAAAGTGAAAGAGCACACACCTGATGACAAATAGACTGGAAACAGTCTGTCAGGTAAGAAAACCAAGCAGTTAAGACCTCACTGAGGTAGGATTTGCAGAGTTTCTGTAATTCAGGAAACTGAGTAATAGGTAGGTCATTGCAGTTGCTCCAATGTTTCTCCAATATCAGTCTTATCAAGATGGTTCTCCCCATTCCCCCTAACTTGTAAAGCAAACCGTATGCCCAACAGAGCCTCACTTTTTTCTTTGGCATTAGATCAAATCGACAAAGGTCTTGACAAGAGGACATGCTCTAGGTAGAGTGCCATTTTGCAACCTGAAATATAAAGACAACTTAAACATGAGTGTGAGTTGCTGGGCATGTGTGCGTGACCAAAATCCTAAGAAGAGAATGGAGGAGAAGGGACTGCGGCATGGCCTTCCCCTCGGGCAGGTTTTCTCGCTTTCTGTCTATTTCTGTCTCTCCTGTGAGCGCACACACCTTACAGCAAAAATCTCTCAAAAAATAATTTCAAAAAATAAATGTAATAATATCCAAGGTAAACTGAGAATTTGGACATTACTGTCTTGTAGGAAATGGATTCGGACAATTCCAGTTTGTATCAAAGGGCTTTCCTGTACACTAACTTACCTAATGATCATGCTGACCTTTATCCCACTGACGGCTCTCTACATATAACGCAGGAGTTTTTCTCATCTTCTAGGACTCTTACAAACAAATCACTGAGTACCCTGGCCTGGGCCTGCTGTATGGAGAAGCCCAGCAGGGAGGAGCACTGCCAGCTGTGTAAGGACAATGTCAGCTTCTAATCTGTTTCACTTGGAAAGATATAACTGCACTACATTTTTTTAAAAAATGAGAGTATATACAACACAGTGTGCTTTGAAATTCTTTGTTTGGTAACAACCTATAAGCAGTAATACAATTACGTAAAAATTATTGGTTGTATTTAAGCAAAAAAACGAATCTCAATTTCTGTTTATAACACTTCATAATAAAAGAAAAGCAACAAAACATCACTCTTGGGCAGTCCCATAGCTTAGTGGTTAAGGTAGCCAAATCTCACATGGTTGACCCTGGCTTGAGCCCGACACCAGTGGCTTGAGTAATATACCAGGCACATGTGTGTGGGTACCCCAAATCCTGGTAGGATAGAAAAATGAAGGGATTGCAGTGTAACCACACAATGGTGTATATGGGGTCATTTCTTCTTCTCTGGTAAGCACAATGTACCTTTTGTCAATTAAAAAAAACCCTTTTTATTATTAGTTAAGAACTAATTATGTTAAGGAGTACTTTTTTTTAGTTTAAATACACAATTGATCATGTCTCATATTTGAGGAACAATTTCTTACATTTTTAGTTAAAAAATACAGGATCTATTAGAATACATTGATTTTTTCCAATAGCTTTGCAAAAGTATTAAATCATTAACAGTTTTATGATACATTGTTTACAATAAGAATTTGAATTAATCTTATCAACAGATTGATTCCCCAAAGGGCAACTGCAAACAAACACAGGTCCACATGTAATGGCATTTAATATTTGTTAAATGTACATGAAAATTTAGTCAATATCAAAAATCACTAACTGAAAACCATCAACATTATCTTTTTTAAAACCAAGATGCTAAAGGTATTAGAGAAACCCTGATTAGTATTCTCAGAAGATTTTTTGAAAACTGACTAAGATCTTTAGGGAAAAAAAATTACATGGACATTTCAGAAAATCAGAACATGACAAAGCAAATCATATTTCAGAATATCAGAAAGTGACAGAGAAAACCATTTCCTCTACATATCTGTGGTTCATTTCCTTGTTGGTAGAAAAGAAGAATATGTGATGGTAGAAAAGAAGAATATGTGATGGTAGAAAAGAAGAAAGAAAATGTGATCCCGCTTAACACAGGGGTTGCTGTGAAGGTCAGATGAGATCAGGTAGACAGAATCAAATACTAGATAAATGCAGGGAGGTGTTTCCTTTTCCTTCTTTCCCACTGATAGCAGTGAGAGCACAGCTTGAGAAGCCTGGAAAAAGCAGGAGAAACTGATCAATAGAGGTGAAGAGTTCCAGAGCAGAAGCACACCCAATGTGGTGGGGGGAATGTTTTCATATATTTTTTTCTTTTGGTGGGAGTGGGTGGTAAAATCAGGCAAAGGGAGATGGTATCAAAGAGGAAGAAAGGGGCCAGGTGGTGGACAATATAGGGTAGGTCCACAACGATTTTCAGAAAGGGAGTAAAGAAGTGCCTGGTATCTGGTGATCCCTTCTCTGGTCTTAGGTGAGCATCATAGTACTTAGAAAAAAGAAAGCGGAAAAGCATTCAGAAAACACCGGGGACTCAAAAGAGAAAATACTGATGCTGGTGAGAAAGGGGATCTAAGCAGGCTTTGGGTTGAGGTGACAGAACAGGGTCCGATTCTTGGGGGTAAAATTTAGAGAATCTGGTCTCCCTGAAAGAAATGAGTGAAAAGGCAAAGGAAGAGTGCAGGGACTTGTGCTGCCGGAGCACAGGTGGGGAGGAAAGCTGGCCTTATCGTGTGCTGTGGCAATATGGTGCGCTGGAAAAGAAACTGAGAACAGACCAGGACTCTAGTCCCAGAACAGCTCCTACTTCTGTGACTTTAGAAGACTACCTCATCTCTTGGCGCCTCCATTTCATTAAGTATAAAATGAGCTGGACTAGAAGTTATAAATCCCAATAGACACAATAGACCATAACACATACCATTTACTGGGTTAACTGCTGAGCCTGGGCACTGTTCTAAGAACATCCAACAGGATGTCTTTAAAGAAGCATGAAAGTGTGCATCAGGAGTAAACCAAAGTGTAGAGGAAAACTTCATTAGATCTCACGGGACCAAAATACTAAGCTGCAGAGATTTTTCAACTCTACAAGTAGCTGGCAGCTACTGCCAGCTTGCTCTGACGCACAGGTGAAAGTCAAAGATGCACATAGGACCCTAGCAGTTTCATTCACTTACAATATTGCTCAAACACAAATCTTTGGGTTGCTTTTAACAACATAAACACTGAGGCTACATTGAAAACTATCTAATGCAACATAAATAATTAGTAATAAATGACCAGTATATCATATATTTACTCATCCATTCAATACATATGCCTTACTAAGAGCCTACAATGTGTTAGATACTTGTCTAGGCACGTGAGACATATCAATAAATGAAATAAACAAAGATCTCTGTCCCTACAGTGATTAGTCTACAAAGGACACAGACATTGACAATGACCATGAGAAGTAAATTACAGGTTTAATAGAAGATGTTAAGTGCAATGGGAAAAAGAAAATACAGATCAGGGAACAGGCTAAGTAAGATGACCACAGGCCTTCTTGGAAAGGTAGCAAAGTGAGCAGAAACTCGAAGGGTATTAGCGAGTTTGCCAAGCAAGTATACAGGGAAAGAATATTCCAGGCAGGTCATGACTTAGTGTTAGTAGAAAGGGCTGGTGGGCAGGTGCCTGGTGATTCAAGGAATAGCAAATGGACCTGTGGGATTCATCTGTAAACTCCCATAGGGACTTCTGGACTCCTGCATGAAGGAAAGGTGTTCACGTGAAGCTGAACTGAACTGAGGATTTGGGTGCTAAACATGGCCTCAGAAAACATGAGGTACTCATGACAGGGCCAACTGTATTATTTAGGAAAACTAGGCATTTTGTTAGCAAGTGATGGCAGTTACTCTCATTTCTTGTATTTTCATTAAAAAGTCTTATGGGTTATCTTTATTTTCCCCCTTTCCCAAACACATTATTTAGGAATGAAGTTGACGATGCAAAATTCCGAAACTACTGGGTTGCCAGAAAAATCATGAAAGAGTTTTTCCTATGCAAAATTGCATCATGACTTTTCCGAGGACACAATATTTAATTCATGTATTATTGTAGCCTAGCATGAGTAGGCTATCACCTTGTCTATGTCTTAAATATCAATGGGTATTTTACCAAATTCAAGATA